AAATTAAAAAAAACTCTCTCGCTTTTCTGTATTATTATTATTATTTTATTCTTTTTAGAATTTCATAAGCATTATGGGATTATGAAATCTGAGTGAAAACATAATACTTCTTTCCAATTTTGTTTAACCCGTAGATGCTATGTGACTCAAACATCGGTGACGAATTTTTTATTCAACAGACTGGCACGTGACACAAAACTTGGGTCACATGTTTCTTTCAACTTTAAAATCGAGTGAACCAATGTTTTTTATGCTTTGCCTACTCAGACGCTTCAAGAGATATTTAAAACGTACGCAGACGTAAAACGTCAGACCATTATGCCACAGCAAAAGGCATTGTTTCCAGCAAATATGTAAGCTGATGTTTTCATATTTCCCCCTATATAAATACGGGTTATTCCCAGTGGTAAACTATGAAAATTTTAACAAAGAGTCTCGACTTTATCTTATAAAAACAAAACATCAAATTCTATTCAAATAGAGCAACATTTTTTAGAAGAATAGAAAATACAAATATGTGTGCAAGGACAAGAAAATATTTTAAAATTAAAATATTAATTTGATGTGGACACCATGTGATTTCTTTGTACGACCTATTAAATTATACTTTTTTTCTGCACTTGATTTAAACTTATATCCTCGAATTATTCTAACTTGATTAACCAATGCCTCCAAGGTGAAAATGATATCAACAGCTACAAATTTTGAAATTAAATATCCCGGTCAATTTTTGCCGAACGGGAGTCAGAATTCTTAAAATTTTATGTTTTCATAATGAGTATAAAACTTTCTCAAACATAAAGAATAGGAGCCAGGAGGCCATATTGAAAGTTAGATTTTGCTATTTGTGGAAATTTAACATATTTTTTAAAGTTTTATAAGTTTTATGTTGTCAAAACATGAATATTTTTGTCATTTAAATCATTTCTCTAACTGAAAACATATGGTTACGACCAATGATTGCGAAATTAAATGTCCGTTAAGGATTTCAAATCGGGTAAAGGATATATATATGGTTGTATATATATATATATGTTTAGTACTACCGGTTGCAATGTAAATGGAAAGTGCACTACTAGATGTTACAATAGTCCCATTTACATTTCTACGTTTAGTTGTTTTTGAGTTATGCAAGATAAATATATAAGTACAGATGTCACAAAAATCTCCCTTTGAATCCATTTCAATCTATTTTAAAATCCGTTTTGGAAAAAAAAAAGAATCCTTTATTCTACCCGTACATTCAGGCGTCTTGCAAAAAAGGGTCTAGATGAATTCGAGAATGGTCAAAATGGGTATTCTGTTGAAATAGGATACCCGAAATATTTTGCGATTTCAATATTTCCTTAACTTCGCACAAGGAAGCAAAAATTAAATTGAGAGAAAAAAGAGATTAAAAAATATCACAGAAATGACATTAAATAACGAGCAATTTAAGTATGCTAGAAAATTTATGCCAGAAACTGCTTCACATTTCTTGCTTCTTCTTTTACGGCAGTTACAACTTCTAGGAGATCCTAAGGCTGAGCGACGGCGTTTCAGAAGTATTTTACATGAGGTTTGTGATCAGACTTTCTTAAGAATTTTTTTATTTACAGGAGTTTGCCATTAAATCTCAAATATATTGAAGACGAAGATCTTTTTGTATCTTCCACCTTGGTGATAACTAATATGATAAATTATGAATAACAAATGATATGAAAAATAAGTAATGAGTGATAAAATAAACAACGAGATTTTCTTTAATTGTTTGGATGTTAAACAGCTTGAAGTCACGGGATATTCATTGAGAACAGACCGCATTTTCCTGTGACTATCTAAATTTTATTAAATTTTGGTTATCTACAACGCAAAATTAAACGAAGCGTACGGGTAAGACACGAATGTATATAGGACCGATGAGAGCTTGATAAAACTTATTTTACAAAAGGGAATACTTTACACAAAAATATTCGTTCAGCTCTTCTCAGAATCACAGAACACAATCGGTAGTTGCCCTTCAAACCACTAAGAGTGTTAAACACAGTAACAGTGCCTAGCTCTTCTAGATATTTTAATACTCCAAATTCAGCTCTGAATAAACAATTGAAAGCAGATACTTTGCCCAGTATTACATAGTTTTTACGCGACCCCCGAGAAATCCCTAGATAATGCCAATTTCAGAAATTATTGGAAGTATATATGGTTAAAGTTACATCCTAAGGATCGATACAGTTACAGTTACATATAGTGATCAATTACGGAACCAGGACCAAAATGTCGCCAAATGGCCAACAAGTTTCGCGACTTTTTGTGATTTGTTGCCAAATTTGGCGTTAAAAATTAATCGCGAAAACCATCGCCAGTTTGCCGATATCTTGCCAGTTTAGTGAGACAGTCATTTACTAAATGTTAAATAGACTTGGCCCTGTATTCCTACTTTTCCTGCAAAGCTTCGTTTCTTTAGCTTTTGTTGTTGCATCATACAACAAAAATTTACTAAAGTTTCACATATAACTTCACTAAAATTATTTACATATATACAAAATTCGTAGCAAAAATATAGCTTTAATTTTAATGGCGGAGTTAGGGATTTTTTCGTTATAGTTTCACCCAAATAAATTAAATTTGCAAATTCAATTATTATTATTTATTAGAACAAACGTGAATTATTTAGCTATTATAAAAGAGCAGAATGTACAAGGAGTCAAGAAAGGGAGGAACGGTTCTATATCTCAAATTTTAGATGCCTAATCAACAAATTTTAAATTGAATGTTTCATCTCTCGAAGATTCGAATTAGGATATATATCAGATTTTTGAGCACTTTTTCTTTACCCATACATATTTTGACACAATATTGGACTTTTTTTCTTAACAAAATGCCGATAGTTTTCTCACAAATCGATTCTAACTTAAAATTATGCACCAAATTTTGTAACAATCACTTTTTCCAAGATATTCGTGTTTAAAATTTCTCAGTAATTTTCCAAATAGCGACAAAAAATTTCAATTGGTATATAAGGTATTTCTCCCGCCTTCTTAGCATGCCTTCGTGGAGTAGTGGTCAGCACGATCGACGCGTATTCGAGAGGCCCATGGCTCGAGTTCCGGCGAGGGCATTGCTATTTTTAAAAGTTACATCCTTATTATTTAGGTATTTTTCATCTCTTCTGCTTAAAGAAATACCTAATGTCTCTGCAGTGGCGTCTGAACTAAAAGGTGGTGAATGATGATTCTTCACTACCAGGATTTGGGGGATTAGGACCCTAATACCTAGTTGCCCTTTAAAAGTGGAAGTATATAAGACATTTCTCCCGCCTTTTTAGCATGTCTCCGTATATAGTGGTCAGCACGCTCGATGCGTATTCGAGAGGTCCGTGGTTCGAGTCGCGGCAAGGGCATTGCTCATTTTTCATGTCTCCGGCTTCGGAATAACATTGTCTCTACAGGTATACTTCTAAACTACGCTGGCCCCGACTTTTTGATCTCTTCAGTGAATGACCTGGTGCCTGAAATTTAAAACTCTTGCTAGTTTAATCATAAAATTTTCATATATTCAGTAATTTGCACATTTTTTTTTTTTGTACTACAGAACTTAAAATAATCAAGTCGTCAAAAAATATTTAAAGGATGTTCCATGAAAATAAGCTTTTTAATCTTTCATCCGTTTGCAAATAAAATTTGATACTTATGATTATCTACCACATAAAAGATTAAGAATTTGAACTTAATACATGATTAAAGCGTGTCAATGTGTCTTAAAAATATAAATACGAGTGACTAGTAGAATTTATACAACTCAGAATAGCTATAAGACCATTGTGGTTTTTTTTTTAACTTGCTGTATTAGAAATTTTGATGAGCGAATAATTATGAATATACGCACGCATTCTTTCAAGTACTGCAGAACTTCATATAATAAAAGTCGACATTGAATCTCTATATATCTCACAATGATCATCTTCCTAAGAAGATTGCCTCTGAAAGCGACCAGCATTTCGCAGAAAAATATTTGTAAAATTTAATTAACAATCGGTAAATTTCAGGATAAAAAAGTCAGAAAAGAGTTAAAAAATTTAATTTATTTATATAAATATTTTGATTACTTTTTTAGAAGCTACTGCATTTGTTAATGTATTTCTTTTCGAAGCGTAGAAGAGTGAGAACAGAAAAATATCAAAATATTAGAAAAATATATATCACGGTTTGAATAAAATTAAAAGAAGTTTAAGAAAAACGATTTTCAATATCTTTACGTTGCAGCAAAATTTTATCATTACCTTTAAATTCATTTTCAGATACAGATGCTAGTATATAGAAGAGTTTCAGTTAGAAATTTTACAATTGATAAATGACGATTTTTACGTACAATATTTGAAATATTTGTTTAACACAATATAAAATATATTTTATTTCTCATAATTATGATGTAAAAATATATTTGTCGCAAAATTTTGTTTAGAAGTACTGATAAATTAATTTTTTAAAGGGTTCAATTTCTTTTACTGATGGGTAATGCATTTTATAAATTCAAAGGTATATAAAAAGTCATATGACACCATATCTCTCACAGGATTCTTTTAGTAAAGTAAAAAAAAAAAATCGGACTAATAAATGCACTCGAAAAACAGAAAAAGATCAAGTAATTTACGATGTATAAAGCTGCATTGTTCTACTTAACTGCATTTAATCATGCAAATTCTATTGACACTTACCATCTTTTAAATCTTCCAGAGTATTGGACAGCTTCAGTAGCGTAGGAAGCTTCTGGCCTTGACTCTGAGGCCAAGGCAGATGAATGAAACGAAGTTGAGGAAAATCTTACCACAAATGAAGTTCAAGGTCCCACTAAAGCTTCAGAAATCTCCTATAATTTATTATCGTTTTAGGTATATGTCAAGAGAGCTGATTCCGCAATTTAAAAGTAAAATTTTTTCCAAGAACCCATGTTGAGCTCCAAGTGTCCAGAGTGAAAAGCGAGATTTGGTTCCAACCTTTCACCTTTGGTATATCCCGAAATTGTCAGACAACAGACTAAGAAAAACAAAAATGCTACCTATATAAAAACAACGAGTTTTGACAAGAAGAATATTCCTTGGTAAAGTTTTAAGAAAGAGAAATTATCTCGCTCTGAATTTGTGCATCGAAGGCTGTTGTCAGAATGAATTCCTTGGTAAGTTTCGTACTAAAACTTTGCTTGAAAATCTTAAATTTTAGTTATTTAGCTAAATTTTCATAGAATTATACACCTCCTTTGTGCTTTTTTTAAAATTACAAAAGTTTGGTTAGATAGATCTATAATGCCTGAATTTATGATCTATAAAGAAATTATTATAAGAAATCCTGAAAGGTCTATTTATATTTGAACCATATCTATTTTAGTATGCTTTTATGTCATAGCTTTCTAGACAATTGAGCACACTTTGAACAAAAATTATTTATAGTATTCTGCAAGTTTACTAATAATGATAATTATCAATATAGCATAATCATAAACTCTCAAAGTAAAAATCATAAACAGATATTATAAACAGATATTATCAAAAGTGACTCTTTTTACCCTAGAAAGTTGATGTTATGAATTTAATTTTAGCGGAAGCGTTTTCCTAACTCTCTGCAATCTCTTTAAAGAGTAGAGCAAGAGACAAATAAGCAAAGCCTTCCCGTAATGTGCTCAATAGTGTTTAAAGGAAATTATCAAATGCACACTGGTATGCGAATTATATTTTCAGTGCCATCTTTCTACAAAGTAAGATTATTCGTGATAGATGTCAATTAAAAAAGACAGAAAATAAGATTTTTAATCTTATAAGGAAAATTTTTCTGTTGAACATATATGATATATATATCTATGTATGTATCGTACTTAAACTGTATATCCCCCGCCACTTTTTTAAACATTCGGAACTTGTTATGTGCTATCTACATCATTCTGACTAACGCATTATCACAGTATAAGAGTGTTCATAAGCTTTTGGAAGGTCAGGACATTTGAGGCCTTTCATGAAAATGAATTTTTAATTTTTGAGAATTCACGAATTTGAGATGGCAATACATTATTCCAAAGTTACTTTTGAAAAACCGATGCAGAATTTCTCTTTTATGATTTAGTGTCGAATTTGTCTTACATTTCTTTGTATAATTTTCCTAACTAATTATTGCAGGATTTTCATCTTTAAAAGATTCCCGATGAATCAAAAAATAATCTTCTAAATGTTTTTCGAAATTCCTAATTTTATTTACCTAATATTGGTGGCTTTTCAAAAATCCTTCGAGTTTTTAGTTACCTTGCAATCCTACTTGGTTTTTTTTTTAAATTTCAATACCACCAACAGGAAAAAACACTTTGATAATACCCAAATGAAATACACGAAATGAAAGGCAAAATACATTTAGCAATAATTTTTATTAATCGATACCGATTTATGAATAAAAATAATATATCTCTTAAAATTAGTAGTAAGGCGAGATTGATTCCTTCAACTTGACTAGTAAGTGGGAAACATACGCCATTCTAAGACGTTGAGGAGTCTATGATGCAAATTGTTTCACGACTTTCATCCAAGTCTCGACAGATCATATCATATGATAAAAATCTGCGTCTTATAGTCGAAGAAACACGATATTTAAAGTTAAAACCAAAAGCATTTTTCTAGTAACGAAGTCTTGCTTCCCATTCTTTGTTCTGAGATAGACTAAAAGAAACTATTTCTGAACTTAGATTTTAATAGAATATCATTAAGAAAATAAAGTGTGTGATGAAAATGAAATCTGTACAGATTTAAAGAGCATTTTAACTATGATAACAATACTTCAGCATGTGTTGTGGATGTATTATAAATATTCAACTAAAATATACCATTCTTTATTTAATTTAAGCAAAATATAAATTTTAAGTTCTCATATATTTTCTTGTTTATAAATATGTTATATTTTATATATACGATTCTTTATAAATGCGTTTATACTTACGAATAAAATGAATTTATGAAATCCACCACCAGTCGTACTAAGGTTCTTTTTAAATGCAAACATTTTAATTTTATTGCGTTTTCTAGATAATATGAGCTTTCCCTTTCAGAAGTTGAAGACTTGTGATAATCTTGCATTAGCAAGCATTAACTTTGCTTGTCGGTCGGCGCTATATTATCTGTAGGCCAAATTTTGGTAACATTCACAATATTTCAAACTTTTTCATTAGTAATATATTTCTTTCGTTAGCTGTGCACGAATGTTTTAAAATTATCCTACTTAATAGTCGTTTAATGCTTTCTAAGTATTCATTGATTAATGTTACGTTTATTATTAAAGAAAAGGGTTTTATTTAAATGGGTATTATTATAAGAGCTCATTTTATGGAGTTCTTTTAGACTATTACAAAAAAAAATCAAATCTAATTTTTTCATCAATATACACTGAAGCTGAGGTTATGAATAATCATTCTGTTGCCTCAGGCTCAAATATAAATCTCCCTTCTTTCATTTCAAGTACATTATTATTAAATGATGACCAAAGAAAGAAGCATCAAACTTCTAGATGGGCTGCAAATTGGACATCTTGGACTCTCAGTAAGCCCAAATAGTGAACTAAATTTTCTTAATGAGATTAAAGTGTTATTCTGACAAACAAGAAAAGGTAGTATTTCTATATGGACTATCACTATATGGAATACGAATATAAACGTTCATACATGCAAACTGGGAAAAATCAAAAGCATCATGTGTATCATTTTATTAAACTATACATTTTATTGCTCTGAACAGAAACTAGAGTTTCTTTCCGGGGAATTCTATAATTTAGAGGAACATTTTTAGGACTTCTATTATTACAGAACATTTAAGGAGTATATCAAAATGTCTTAAATCTACTACTTATAATAAAAATGTAATGACTTCTGGAAGAAAAAGAATGCGTCCAGTTTCTGGTTATATTAATGAAGCAAAAAAGGATATTTTTTTATCTGAAGCACAATGTAATCTCTTTATGAAGGAATCAAAATTAATCCATATAGCTAATCAACTAGTGGTTTAAAACCGACACTTAAATTTAAATGTCTCGTGAATAAGAATAATGTTTCTAGTCTTATAAGCATATAAAATTATGAATTCAGCTCGCATAATCAAAATAACACATAACAATGCATAAGCTACAATGAGATGACAGAAAAATTGTTAATTATCTTTCAGAAAGGAAAAAAGAAGGATGGGAAAGTTTCAGACAAGTATACTGGAATAAATGGATTGAAAACCACGTATAAATATGAACAGGAATTGCACTATATAGATATCAATTTACAGAGACTTTTCTTTTATTATAAATGTTGTTGCGCTGTTGTGAGTTATCTCACTTGTCTAACAGTAACATCAGAACATGTCTACGAAATTCATCAGGACAAGAATAACAAGATTACGCCTGTCGTTGGCAACAGTCTTGAGCACCATACAGGTGACAGTACGGTTTTGCTCAGTTCCGCTCCCATTTCAATGGAGAGCCCCCCGGGAGGACGGATCCGAGGGTCTCTCACCCCCTCTTTCCCTACCTCCAACCTCTCGAGAGGACTTTCGGTTCATCGTATATTTAAAGTATCACCATGTCACACAGACACTACGCATTTACAAACATGCATGCCTTCTTCTGGGACTCGAACCCGGGTCCTTTAGTGACGAATCCTAATTAGAAGCGAACCCGTGTAATATACAGGAATATGCTGAATTACCTTTGTGCCATATACTACATACAAGTACTATTACTAAAGAAGCTATTGCAGTATTATATGAATCCCTAAATTTTGTTTAATACTTACTGTAATTTGTAGAGATACCACAATCTATTATCTATCAAATTTGCGTTTTATAGAATATTGATTCAGATTTCACTGTTGATCATTTCCTTCTATATGCTCTGAAATTTAACCTCTATTTCTTGAGGACGTTTTTTACCTGTTTCTATCAAATATGTTAATAAAAAAGTGCACTACAGTTAGTTCCTTAGGAAAATAACAGTGAGAGAAGTATTTTCACAGAAAACTTTACCTAAAGGCAGACATAAAAAAAGAACAAGAAGGAAAGGAAGAAGGAAAAAAATAAATTCTTAAAATATTTTTCAATACTTGAGAAAAAAAGATTTCAAATAATATTGCATCCCTTTTCCACAAAATAAATTTTTCTTGCGACACAAAGTATTCTTGTTAATTTACGAGACATTCTAATAATTTAAAATTATCTGTATAGAGCAAACCAATTGACGTTATCCTATTAAATATATAGTAAATGCAATAATGCAAACATGGTTTCTTATATCTTTAAATCATTCAACTAAATAACCGTACTGGTTAACTTTGTGCATTTACGTTTATTATCATCTAAATCATACGTTGCTGTCTTTTATTTGTAAGGAAAAATAAGGATTTTTTGTTTACGTACGTGGGATTCGTAGCTTCATTTGTCTTTCATTCCATTGGCATATCACTTACAAATTCAGCGAAGTAAAGCATTTACAAATTTAAATTTCTTAGAAACATTTTGATAACATTCGATGGAAACATGTTTTGTTAATGTTTACTGCGTTGCCATAATTAATAAAGATGTTTTTAACGCAAGATAATTATGTACCTCTGTTGCAGAGTTTCACAATAACCCCTCTACTCATACAACATTGTCTGGATTAAAAATAAAGCTTCATGGTAATAATAAAATCCGAGGATAACAAATAGATTTATACCAACTACATATTTCATTCTTTTTAAAATGTTTTATTTAAATATGAAAGCTTGGTTTTATTCGATCGCAACTTGGTTTTAACAGTTCCTTTCCAGATTTGTATTTCATTATAATTTAGCTTGAAGAATTTCAGACCTTCAAAACTACTGTTTAGTTTACAGGTCATAAATATATAAAGTGATTCTGTGAAGGAAGATTGTACTTTTTCAGAGAAAATTGCGCCAACATGTGGCCGAATAAATAAGATCGCTTAACATAAGTGGTTGGAATTAGGGAGAACGGATTAGTAGCGTGAGTGGTTTTTAGTTTTCTGCGTATGTGGTGAATTCGCTTCAGTTACTCTTAAAAAGACTCCTGGTAGCCATTTCATCTGATAGGTAGACAGCCTTCTTGTTCTTTACCTTATTCAAATTGTTCACAGAGATTAATTTCAATATTTTGAAGTTTATTTATACCACGCATGCCAGAATAAATATTTTTAATTTCAAAAAATTTTACTTTTAATGGAGTATAAAGGATTTATCAAGCCCTTAACTCGCTAAAATATTTGGACAAGCTACGAAGTTTTAATTAGCATAAAATGAAGGTAACAAGATAAAAATTGAATATTGTAAATAGAACAGAAAAATTATTAAAATTTAGCATTTTGAATAATCTTCTGAAAGAGAAACAGAATAACCATGTAGTGTAGAAACCTGTGGAGTATTAAGTTAAAAGACATATCAGGCAATAAACAAAAATCTTTGCAAGGGAAAAAAAGAAAGGTTAATGTATAGATAAGATGGAAAGTGAAAATTATTGGAGCTTCGAGATACTTTTTACTAGCATATGAACCCTAATCTTATTCCAATTTACGCGGCAATTTTTCCGACTCACACGGATCTTGCAATATAAGGTAAAGAGTCAAAAATGAATATGATATAAACAGAATTAATAATTAATCTTAATCTTTATTACAATCGTCAGAAAGGAAGATGTCGTAGAATAATAAGAAAAATGTAGAGTTTATTTTTTGCATTATGAATAAATGCTACAATGTGAATTAAATTCACGACGGAAACAACAAAAGAGCTATTGATTTCCTTAATGATTTAAAGAAAATCTTGTTAAACGTTAACGCTATCTTCCTTATATCAGAGATTCATATTTGCTAATTATATGGTTATTTATTTATTTTTCATGATGCATAATTACACGATTCGGTGATTTATTTTTATTTATTTACTACGCACGAAAATCTTCAAGGACATTCTTTCTCATACTGATGGCAATTTATTACCGACCCAATGATAAAATGTAGCTAAGGTGTACTTAAATGATGATAGAAATTTGCATCGCTCTAAAATGAATAAAGAATATCTTTAATATGGTGTGTTACATGTTTAGGAAAATAATAAATGTTTGTGTTGCAGAGACATTAGGTATTTTTTTAAGGCAAGAGAGATGAAAAAATGAGCAATTCCCTCGCTGGGACTCGAAACACGGGCCTCTCGAATGCGTGTCGAGCGTGCTGACCCCTACACCGCAAAGGCATGCTAAGAAATCGGGAGAAATACCTTATATACTCCCCTTTTTAAAGGGTTTTAGGGGACCTAATCGCCATATCCTGGTGGTGAAGAATAATCATTCACCACCGTTTAGTTCGGTCGCCACTGTAGAGACATTAGGTATCTTTTTTAAGCAGAAGAGATGAAAAATGATCAATGCCCTCGCCGGAACTCGAACCACAGACTTCTCGAACACCCGTAGAGCGTGCTGACCACTACACCATGAAGGCATACTAAGAAGGCGGGAGAAATACCATATAGTGTATAACTTAATAACGAATTACTGACGTTCTAAAGTTAAGAGGTAACATTAACGTTCACAACCGTTATCATAATTTTTGTTAGTAGATTTGAAATTACTGTTGATAGTTATCTTTTCTAGCGTAAAACATTTCAAAGTGTTAAATTCTGTTATTGAATGTGAGTTGCAAAACATTTTGAATGAGAATATTTCACACTGCATTGTTGTACTATTTACAGAAGTACATTAAATTGTGACATTTCTTTCAACTATTTATGTAGACAAAACTGTAAATTTAAAATGAAATATTTAAAAAAGATTTGAAAAATGTCTCGGCACAATTTTCTGCTTCTAGCAATTTTTGTTTTCAAATTACTAAAAAATATTTAACAGAAGCATCATAATTTAGTCTAGGTTAGACGGATTACATAAGGAGGCTGAAGAATTTTCTAGCAAATTCTAGGCAACCATACGGATAGTTTCACAAACCTTAATATATTTTATATAAGAAAAAATAGTTAATTAATTGCTTTTTGATGGGTGCAAAAAAATTAAAATAATGATTTTGTAATTTTATAGTATTAAATTTTGTAGTTTGCAGCTTGCAAATGCATACGGGGTCTTGTCATGCTACACACAGAATAATTAGACAACTGTATACTGTTTTGATGACAAAATATCTGTAATAACTTATAATATTTAATAATAACATAAAACAATAAATAATAAATATTTACATGAACAATAATAAATAAAAAACAATATTTAAATTTTTATCAATATTTATTATATCTCATTCAAATAATCCCTTGCCACTGCAATGCGCTTAGGACACCTTTTTTTTTCTTTTTCGAATCACAAAAACAAATTTTAAAATTGTTTCCTCGAATACCCTTTTAAAGTTCACAGTACAGTATTATTTATTACATCAACAGACACAAACAAATGCGAAACTGTCTGAAGCATGATAACTCGGCAAAATGCTATGCTATATCTTATAATGTAGCTTAGTATTAACGATTGTGAAGCTCCAGTGTTAAATGGAGAAATAAAAATATCACACGTCGGTTATTTTAGACGAATGCAGAATTTTCGTAGCAGCACTTATAAAGCTTTTAGCCAAAAATTTATGAACGTAAAGAGCAATTGTGAGCAGGTACAAAATCGATGAGTTATCTCGCCAATAATTCAAGTTATATTCCATGAAGTGTTTCATACAGACGTCATTAATTAAGACGTCATATCTTATAATGTAGCTTAGTATTAACGATTGTGAAGCTCCAGTGTTAAATGGAGAAATAAAAATATCACACGTCGGTTATTTTAGACGAATGCAGAATTTTCGTAGCAGCACTTATAAAGAGCTTTTAGCCAAAAATTTATGAACGTAAAGAGCAATTGTGAGCAGGTACAAAATCGATGAGTTATCTCGCCAATAATTCAAGTTATATTCCATGAAGTGTTTCATACAGACGTCATTAAATACTTTAAAAGTATTTTTTCAATAGCTGGTCAGTTAATAAAAGTTTGTGTTGAGCATTACGACTATCAGAGAAAAAAGTCAACAATATTTTGATTTCTAAACATTAACGGTTTCGCTTTTCTTAGAACAGTCCGAGAAACGACGCGCTGCAAGCTCACATAATATTTCAAATTGCTTGAATGGATCTAAATGATGTGAACAGTATTCAGCAACATCCCCAGTTGTTAAGACGATAAACAGGGTATAGTACAAAGTTCTTAATTTTGATAAAGTGTTGCCTAAAAGGCTTTTAGATAAATTTAAATGTCTTTTGCTGAAACTGCATTGCAAAAACGAAACTTAATGCAATCTTAATGCTTAATATCCTTTGACCAATTACATTCGTTATAGTTTGCAATCTCCAAAACAAAAATTCTTTTTTCACAGAGAACAAATTTGCAAACAACACTGTAAAGGAAATGAAATACAAATGATCGATTGATGACGACCAAAGTCAAAGAAGTTCTGAAAAACTTTGCTAACAATTTCTTGCACTTGTACATTTTAAATTATTCGTTTAGATACTTTTTAACACACTATCGTATATCGTAGGCATTTATATACATCAGTTTAATGTTACCTTTATTAATACGCATTGTACTGCATCATATTTTTATGTAATTCAGTTACAGAAAAATTCAAAATACTATATAAATAAATTAATAACCACCTTAATTTTACTTCAGTTAGAAAGCTGGAACAATAATCTGAATAGATGGATATCTGGAACCCTGGTTATTTGAATACTGTTGCATTATTAAGTTAATACTGTAACGTAAAACAGCTTTTCCTTTTTTAGGTAATCATCTTCGCAATTGCGCTAGTTTACTGCGCTTCTGCTGACAGACAAGTTTACTCTGGGAAATGGAAACAAGCTAGCCAGACAGGATACGATGCCGCATATTACCCTTACTACGGTCAGTATGGAGCTGGAACTGGTAGCTACGGTTATGACGCGAACTACAAGTACTCTCAAGATCGCTATGCCACATACCCTATTGATTCGCAACGATTTTATCTTCCTGGAGGTGTATACAGGCCTCATGATTATGCTGACTCTTTCAAGTATGGGTACAAGCCATATACCTATGATACTTCATATAAGTACTACGATAACTCGGCAAAACGCTATGTGAAGACACCTTATGACATTTCTTCTTATTAACGACTGCGAGTAAGAACACGGAAGATGTATTAACAAAATACGTAAGTCGTTACTTTATACCTTAATCTAACTGTTTTTATATGAATGAATTTTATTAATAAGTTTGAAATATGTGATTATAGATTGTATTTCCTTAAATATTTATTCTTGGCAGTTGCTTTGAAATAAGAAGTTTCACGAAATAAATTAAAGTATTTTACAAACACATTTCCAAAACTGTAGAGGACAATTTTTGCAAATATAAGACCAGACTTTTTATGCAATTCCCTCTGAGCAAGAATCCCAGACAGTGAAACATTCTGTATACTTAAAATTGAAGAAAACAAAGCTTGTAGCTGTCTTTTCAAAACACTCTGTATATCACTATTAATTATTTAATATTAAATGATAACCTTATGTCTATTATCCTATGTATCTAATTGTCTATCTATATACATAAATGAACAATAATTTCTTGAATAATAACTTCATTTCGACTAACAGAGGTAACTGTGAATTGCTTAAGATTAGCATTTAATTTTTTCATTAATGCGATAGTGAAACGTAGGCTAGAACATATCATCTAGCCAAAGAACTTAAATTCTGTTCAGTTTTATCTCCTTAATGGCTAGAATATTATTCCTTTGCTATGTTTAAAATTTTGAATTATTATTATCGTTATTGAAAGCTACATTAAGGTTAAAATTTCTTGAGAACTATACATATACTACACTCAATGAAAAGATCAGCTTCAGCTATACTTAATAAGTTAACGTTTATCTACGTACACACAAATATATATATATATATATATAAGACAAGTAGTTAAGTCATGAGGTAAAGTTGCTCCAGAGTGTTACTTTATTATAGTCACTTCAAGGTCATTTTTGACCCGTCTTGCCTTGTAACCATGGTAAAAACTGCTACTGCAGATGCTCGAGTTCTCTAATTTCCTATTCCCCTTTGTGCATGATAAAGAAGTACATTACGATTATAAATTGGAGAGGGTCAGGTACGACCTCTCAGTGACTATTTTAAAATAACAGTGTATAAATGAAGGATTTATTCCGTTGAAATAGAGATAAATCCTCATCTAACGGGACATTTTCATACGGTTGCTTCATTATAAAAGTGACAGAACTCATATACAGCTGAGGCAGTGTTGGCCAGTTCAGAAATCTTCATAAGTATGTCTGAGCAAAAATCTTCGTAAAAATACGGCACCTTTTCCAAAATTAATTTTTAATTGTGTACAGCCACATTATCTTATTATCTTGGGTTCATACTATAATTTCTACTTTCATGAACTTCCACTAGAATGCAAATTATTTAAAGCATTAAAACAAAATCCCAGGGTCTAAGTTCTTCAGAAATCGTTTAGTTTAGTAGGTAAACATTGCAAAATGTTTTCTTAAAGTCTATTCCTGTTACTCAGAAGGGATCTGACATTTTAAAGTATTTAACGTAACCATATTACTTGAAAAAAAATCAATTTTCATAGATGTGCTTGTTCTCGTATGGAACACTTATTAAAGTATGACTTAAGTAAAATTAAGTTTGTTACTTTGATTAATAAGGTAAATTAATATCCCACCTGAAGGAATTCCATTTAGTTACCTCTGCTTTTAAAAGATTGAATAACAGTGCGCTATTACAGTTAATGACCAGGTGTACTAGAAAACCATAAGCCGAATCGATTATGAGGAATACATTATGTGCTGCGAATGGAAGATATTCTGAGATTTTATATGTACTGGTTGAAATTTACTTTCTTTCACTTCTCAGTACCATTAATTCACTTGCCGTTTTGAGTTCTGAATAAAGTTCTATGTAAGTGAAATTATTTATCCCCGTATGCGTAATTGATCAAACTATCATTCCGCTGAAGTTGTTTCGTACAAATCACGTTTCTGACGCAATATTTCCCCTTATATATTGTTTAGAAAATATTTGAAGCAAAAACATGGAATTATTATTATTCGAGTTACCTGCTCTTTGAACTCCTTGGAAACACGATAACGCCGTAGCGTAACGTGACCTTTTATCCCTTATCGGCGCTATTAGAGTTAATTTCTATATGCTACTACATTGCAAGTTGCAATAAGCTTATGCAGCGTGTTTCAGAAAATTGGTTACGAACTCTCAGAAGAGACAGAGTACACCTAGACGATGTAAAATCATATAGCTATGTATGGTCGCAAACGCTTTCCTGGCGCGGTAGTGACGACAGAAATCACAAGAAATAAAGGTCATGAACAGAGTGAGAAAACATCGTTAATATGCTTAGTACACAGAAATCAAGAAACAAGAACAAAAATAGACAACGATCGTCATCAAAGAAGGTGATCGAAATTACGACCTCGGACCAGAATGCAGGAAACTTGAGTCAGGCATCTTCTATGCGTGATGCCGATCTTCCATGGTCCAGAGATGTGGGTCCTACATCACGGTCCGGGGTTCTAATTTCGAATACCTTCTTTAATGGCGATCGTTGTCTATTTTTGTTCTTATTTCTTGATTTCTGCTGTAATAAGCATAATAAAAATGTTTCCTCACCCTGTTCACGTTCTTCCTTTCTTGTGTTTTGTGTCGTTACAACCGCGCCAGGAAAGCGTTTCCAACCATGCTTTGCTATTTGATTTTCTATCGTCTAGGTGTACTCTATCTCTTCTGAAAGTTTGTAACTAGTTTGTTGGAATACTCTGCATATGTAAGTTTCCAACATCCTATTATTTTCAGCGTTTTCAAGGCCAGTCTTCAGTCTGAGTCTGGAAAAAATAGGAGAAAGAGGATAAAAATAATTAGGGCTAGACACCGACCTACATCGAGACTAACAACGCTTTGCAAAAAGTTGAAACAATTTTTAATATAATGTATTAATGTTAAAAGTAATAAATTTACTTGTCTAGAATACATTATACTTATTTACAATGGGTATTAATTTCCTAGTTTAATTTTTCCTGCATTCATTTTTTATTTTCTTGATCCCACTGTAAACGATAGATCAAGGCTCCATTATAATGGTGTACTAAAATTAGGAGACCATTATAACTCGTATTTAATGCTGCATATTCAAAGAAAAGGTATAATGCATGCATATATATATATTCTTCACAACATGCGAAAATACATGTTCAACAAATAAAGCTAAAAAGATATAAACTAATTTAATAAAACACTGAATGAATAAATGATAATTTGAACGTTAAAAAAGCATAAAAAATAAAATAAAGATGATCTAAGAGAAGAAAATATTTATATATATGTATATATGACTTTACTATGGTCACATATATATCTTTTACCATCTTTTACATACACGTGTTTAAAAAATGTTACAAATGTGAAGCCAAAAGAATAAAGTACGTAAAAATAAGATAAAAGTAATTGAAAACGGAAAACGAAAATATATATAAAATCTGAATTTACTGGATTAAACTTTAATATATATACAACAGTTTCAACTCACTGATAGATAGTTCGTAATAAAATATATACTGTTTAACTCTCAGATCACATCATTTTAAAAAAACTATGTCAAAAAATTTATTTTTCGTTGTCCCACTTAATTAGTTATTTGTTTTTATTTTTAAACACTAAATTTACAGATAAAATTCTGTCTTTCAAAACAGTAATTTTATCAATACATTCTATAACTATAATACAAAATATATTCAAATCACTCACCTTTTGTTGCAAAATCAATTTTCGTGAAAGCTTTACGTATTATGAATTGAGGTTTCTAAGCCCAATTAAAAGATTTTTTACTATCCGTTTTTGAATTTTAGTTTCGCAGTTATAATAAGAAAAACTAATTGAGGCGTGTGCTTAAATGTAGGAGATTCCTCCAACTATATGCATTGCCAATATCATAATTTTTAGCCAAAATGCATATGAATATTTGACATGACACACATAAGAAAAAATATGGATATAAAATAAAACAATTTATATATGTCAAGTGATAATATATCTTACTTGCACAACTTGTTTTCGGCAAAATATTCACTAAATAGTAATTTTAATTTGTTTTAAGTTAAAATTATCTTGCCCATATCTCTGAAACGTTAATTGCTTAATTTAGAGTTAAAAAACGTGCGAAACTAAAGAAATTACCTGAAACATATGCGGCCTTCAAATGAAGTACCTTTTTAACCTAGATAATCCTTTCAGTTCAAACGCGTGAGCTATAATTAAAATTTTAAGGTTGTGAAAATATTATTTCATTACAGCATTACTTGTTTCAGTTGAGTTTAAAAAAACTTCAAACTTTTTAATGTTTTCCTAAGAAAAATTCTTTAAAAAAACTAATTTAAAAGAATAATGAGAAGACATAAACAAAATTGTACTCTGTAGAAATATGTTCTGAAAGATGTAAATTAAAATAGTTCTTACTCATTTTACGATTACAAACTATCATTCCGCTGAAGTTGTTTCGTACAAATCACGTTTCTGACGCAATATTTCCCCTTATATATTGTTTAGAAAAATATTTGAAGCAAAAACATGGAATTATTATTATTCGAGTTACCTGCTCTTTGAACTCCTTGGAAACACGATAACGCTGTAGCGTAACGTGACCTTTTATCCCTTATCGGCGCTATTAGAGTTAATTTCTATATGCTACTGCATTGCAAGTTGCAATAAGCTTATGCAGCGTGTTTCAGAAAATTGGTTACGAACTCTCAGAAGAGACAGAGTACACCTAGACGATGTAAAATCATATAGCTATGTATGGTCGCAAACGCTTTCCTGGCGCGGTAGTGACATTACCGTCTTTACCGTCTTGCCTTCCAGTATTTTTGTGTTACAAAATCAAGACTACTGCAGAACAGGAGTTTAAATGTCCCTTATCAATGGATTATTAAAAATTGCAAAGAGAAAGAACGCAATTAAGAATTTCTGAATCTAATATAAAACAATTAAGCATTAAGGCAATTGTACCCAGTGAAACGCTGGAGCGATAACGCAGCTGCAGCTCAAGGAGAAACTAGGACAGTATAGTTCTTGTCCAGGAGACTTTGTTAAGCCTTTTATTTATATAGTATAATTTAAGCCTTTATAAATGTTGGCAAGAAAAATCGGTAAGGAAATTCAGAAGATGTCAGCACTCATTAACACGCTTCGAATAGCAAAATTAAAATATTTTACTCTTAAAGAAAAATTGCTGCCATAAATCAGTGTAATACTTTACTAAAATAAATGTGTAAACTATTCCAATCTTTTAGAAATAACGCCATTAAAAAACTACTTTTTTGAAGTGAAGTTCAAATGTGAATGAATGAATAAATTAGATGCGATAATTAGCTTTAATAGTACATATTGTATAAACGTTACAGATCGAAGAGGAAATGTTCTTTTTTATTTTAAAAGGTTTGTTTTAGGCCACGAAGAAGCGATTTTCTACCAGAAAATGTTGATAATCTTTTATGATGCAAAATCGGCTGAACCTTTTTTAAAGTTTCTTCAGTTACATGTTCTTTGATACTCTGTGAAATAGTTGTCGCGAATGAAATTCAGTTTTTTAAACTCTTTTTCATTATTTTATTATTCAATAGCGATGAAACGTTGCAAAACCCCTTTCTGCAGGAATTGCTATTCTCAACTTTACATAGCTTTTCTTAGCGGCTATATAATTTATTTACACACATGCCTTGGTCTTTGTCTATAGTATGCCAGTATTTTAAATCTTATTCCAGTCGATTCATTTTACTCATATGAAGATGCCATTAAGCGTCATCAAAACTGGGTGCATGCTTTGTCTCTTAGTGTCTTCTTGTATTGCATTCTTTTGATACTGGCACTGACTGACTGGAAATTAAACACACTGTCTTAGCATTCATCGGTCCAGAGTATGATAAAATGATCTTCTTTTTATTAAAAACATATCATAAATGTTTTTATTAAAAACATATCATAAAGCATTTTACTCTTAGACTTAATATTGATTGAAGACTTAGTATCTTATCATAGACTTAATACAGATTGAATACTTTTAATCACTCATGGCTATTTTCCGATGAAAATTTTTCTCCCTAATAAAACAATTATAATAATAGCAGAAAAATTAATAGTCTATGGCTGACACAGTAAAGATGCTTTCCCATATCAAAGAGTAGTTACGACTTTTTGCCTGGGAAAGAGACCACTACACAGTAATTTAAAGTTAGCTAATAATTAGTTAAAAATCGTTGAATATTTTATCTGTGTGGTGACTGTGAATAAGATTCTTTTGCTTTAATCGAAAATAATTACCCTAACATGAATCTTCGAAATATAGCTCGAAGATACTGGTCGGCGCACTCGAAAGAACTACCTCTGATGACGTCTACCTAACTACGACATTAGGTGTTATTACTAATATAATACTACTTGATAGTTGGTAAAGAAATGGTAAATACCGCAATATATCTTAGTAATTTGCAAGCTTCACTAAAATTGTTAATGTAATCCATATTGTCTGAAGGACTGAAGTGTACACCCTAAAAGAAATCAAAATTATGTAACGTAAAAGCTTCTGTATCGCGAACTGTGAACATTACATAACTCAAAACGCAAATATGCCAAACAGCTGGGACCGTTTCGCCGTCAACGTTCGTACATATTTCAACTTGAGCTAAGTGTCCGTTAGATGCGCTTCGGTCACCAAATGATTTACTTATTGAAACTTTGTAATAATATCACAAAAGCACTTAATTAAGATAACAACAGTTATAACCTTCTCGTTTCTATTATTTATAATTTTTTCAAGTTAAATTTGTAATTTAGTGAAGAACATTTGGACTATATAGTATGTTAAAAACGTGACTTTAATTTTCGAAGAATAAAATAATCCTATAGTTACGCTCATGTTTCATGTTTAAATATGTTTTATTAAGTATAATATTTATAGATTTCACTTAGATATTTGTTTCTTCTAGATTCAAGACCGATCAAAGAACTTACAAAAGAGCCTCAAACCTAGTCAAGACTAAGAAGACTGGAAAATAATTCATTTGATTTTTTTTAACTTCGCATTCAAATAAAACTTTGTTTAAATAATCGTTGTTTCATTTATTTCTTCTTTGCTAAGATTACTTAATTTCAGCTGCATATTTGACAGACTAACAATAACTTTCTTGTTCAACATTTTGTTCATCATTTGAATCCATAAAGCGAGACAAATATACTTTCAATTACACACTAAAGGTAGGTGGATTGCGATATATGCAGGAAAATATGCTTTGAATCTGTAATTTCAGGAACTTTGGCTATTAATCATCCTTATGTGAAAAAAATTATATTCCAGTATTTTCTACATCCGTCTCTCTGACAGTTAGGAAAGTAATAAATCCTATGTTTTGATTTGATAATCTTGAGAGGATTTCTAAGTGCACAAAATATAAGTGTGTGGAAGGATACCAAAACTTTCCTTTATATATATATACCATTAATGTATCCATCTGTCGCAATGATATATCAGATAAACTACTTTAAAGAATCGTAACTATACATGTCAAATAATAATGAACGACAGAATTTTATATTTCCATAACAATATAGGTATACTGCCGTACTTTTACGCAAATCTATATAAAGATATACACATATCTGTGTGTATGGTACCGCATCTCTCAGCTCAACCTTTCTTTATTATGCATTTGTGACAACAGCAGTTTTCGCTTTATTGGCTCTTAACTGAATAGACGATTTTTGTATCTCAAGCATTACTCGGAAACTTCGCTTTTTCAAATCGTTGTGTTCTGATATTATGCATTATATTTTAATCCTCTTGTTTCTCATACAAGGCATATTAGATAAAATAATCATTTTAACATATTTAGATTTTAAGACGGCCACAATTAGATATACGTCATTTCGATTAGCTTTTTGACTTAATAATCGTGTCAGGAATTTGCTTTTTACTCAGCATGAATCGAATAGGGGAATATGGTACAGAACCGGGAGTTCTGCAATGGGCATCTGGTATTAAAATGTCTATTTAAAAATATAATATTGGGAACAACCGCTTTCACAACAGATACAAAACTTGCTTGAACCAAATTCCTTTCGTAGAAGTACGTTGTAATGTAACCATATACTGTAATGCAAAGTTTCTTAAAATGCACAAAGAAACGGTTCTGACGTTCTATTTGCAGTACTTTGCACCATTTAGTCAACATCATATTTTGCGTCAGCAATATATGGCGTTATGCATGTGCATCCAGAATTTTCTTGCAGTGTTATAATCACCAATAAAGTATTGTAATTTGCTCATTCATCATTGAATTGCTTACTCCCTTTAAGTGCAATATTGAAGTACTGAAGTGCAACAGCGCATCCAAACATGTATCAAAACTTTCTTACTCATTATTTAATGTGGAAAACCGGAAAGCATGTAACTTTGAAATATGACATTCCATACTCCACCAAAGCAGAAAAAAAATCCTATCCTAATCTTCTACATCATATCCAAGCTTACGCTGATGCTCGAAAGTCCAAAACGCATTAATTGGTCACTGATTCTAATATGCAGTAAGTCAAAATATTCAAACACGAATAAACAAAAGCTTACAAACTATGATAATTATAAAACTGAAAAGTTTAGATTCTACATTTCCTCCTTTGCATCGACATCAAGGTACAATATTTAGTATATATCCTTCATACATTATTTGCAGAGTTGCATAACATCACAATTGATCAAAATTACATAAAATTCTTAGAAAACAGTAAATGATGGTGTGCATGTAATTTAATCTGAAAGCTGTTGCCATTTATCAATATTTATCATATGTTGTAAAACATATACGTACTGCTTATTTTTACGAAAAACAATTACGCATCAAGGCAAGATTTCAAAAATATATAAATTCAAAACATTCTTTTTTTCATTCGCGAGCACTTAGCAGACTTAGGCTTGGACAAAGCATCTAATAGGCGAGCCACCGCTACCCCTTAGGAACGGACGGACAGTTACAGCCATACCTTTTCTCCGGGATCCTTACTTGGACCCTTCGGTATCGCAGGGTCCCCTAACCACTATAACGTCTGGGTGGCCTCCAAAATGAAGAATCTTAGGTGAATCTCCAAAATGAAGAAAGAAAAATCTTAGGTGAAGAATTTCCAAAATGAAGAAATTAGAAGAATCAAAAATACACTATTCTAGAATAATATTAAAAGTATCTGATGTAGACACCGCACGACTTCCTTGTATCTATTAAATTATACACATTTTTTGTTGCACTTCATTTAAACTTATTTCCTCGAATTATTCTAACTTAATTCACCGATGTCGCAAGGCAAGGTGAAAGAGATATAAAAAATTGAAAATTTTGAAATTAAATATCCCTGTGAAATTTTGTCGTACGGAAATGAAACTTCTTATAATTTTATTTTTTCACAACGAGTATAAAACTTTCCTAAATATATGTATAGGAAACTGGAGACTCAATAAATAACGAAATCTAACCTTTACTGGTTAGATCTAACCAGTAAAGGTTAGATTTCGTTATTTATTGAAAATGAACTTTTTTTTACCTTGGCAGTGCCAAAACATAAATATTTTCGTCATTTTTTAAAAAAAAAAAAACTTCTGTAATTAGACGTATATTACTATGACAAGCGGTTGCGAAAATAAAGGCTGGATAAGGACTTCTAAGCCGGGTAAGAGGTGTGCGTGTATGTATGTGTGTATATACATATATACGTCTGGCACTTCCGATCGCAATAAAAAAGGGAAGTGCAAAGTTAGATATTATAGTAGTAGTCCCCTATACAATATTTCAATGTCCTACTTCTAATCGTTTTTGAGTTATTCATAAGGATGCACAATGTTTGTACAAGGAAGTAAAAATGAGTACTTATATACATTACAAACTAAATCTCATCCCTTAATTAAAATTATTTAATTTGTTACAATCAAGATGTTTATCGAAACTATTCCCTAGAGAAGTATGTGAGGTGTGTATTCCTTAATGAGATGTTTTTCGAAACTATTTTTTAGTGATGAATGCATATTATAGTACGCGATTTAGAATAAGCCACATTCTAAATGGGGTTCACTATCATTTTCCGAAGACACCATTATGCAAAAACAGCCCTCTGTGGCTAATCATCAAGTTATAGTATTTGCTACGCGTTGCTAAATAGCTGCAATTTGTTCAAGTTCCGGATACTCTAAACGGTAATTTGGGGGAAATTGAAGCGAATACCCATCGATCTTCCAGGCTAATGGAATGATTTCTGCATTCACGATTCATGACACTTCTGTCTAAAAAACCCATTTAACATAATCTTTGATGCAGCCATACCAGCGTCTGGTCGCTTGGAATAAGCCTCAATGTGTAGCACTCCGATAGAGGAGCTAAGTAGCTCTCTTGTTACAGTAAGCAGCTCTATGTGCTAGATGCATATGTGTTGAAACAGTTATTCGTGAAACTTTCCACCGGTACTGCCTCTACACACGATTATCAAATGATGGTTTTCTGCACGGACGTTTTTAACAGTTCTTCAACAACTTCTTCTGTAGCTTTACTTCTGAATTGCACTTCTGACCTTGCACTGCTATCTGATCCTGATTAGTCTTTGAGTAACCTATCCCTTCCAGCAATTTGTACGCGCTGCAGCGAAATGCTTTTAATATATGTACTATATAAAATCAATAGACTTAAATTGTGACTAAACGGTTGCGATTGTTAATAGTATTATAAAACTGCGGAAAACTGCAAGAATTTCCCTACACGAGGCAAGTTAATTTAAACTATTTGGAATGAAAAACCTTTTTTAAATGCAAAAATATTTTTTTAATTAATTTATATCGTGTAGGGGAATTCTTGATATGCATATGAATATGTTAAATCTGAGGAATTACATATTTACATTTTAATTTCATTTCTATTTTCGATTTGCATATCCATAGCAAAGACGAAACACGATATCTGAAAGACTGGAAGGAGTGTTAAATAAGCTTATTCCCCTCAAGGTTCGGTATCATTTCGTTATCTTTTCAATTGTTCATTTTTAGTAATTTTATTTATATAGCTTTAATTATCATTAATAAAATTTTTGTCGCAATTTTATGCATACTCACGATTATTGGCCATTGCTAGTAAAGGAATTTTTCGGTACTACTTTGGTAAATGTTTTTTTTTTTTTTTTTTTTTTTTTTTTTTTTTTTTTTTTTTTTCGAGCGATACGACTTATAATAAACCCATTGCTATACAAGTTACTTATGGTAACCGATACTTTGTTGTCATTTTATTTTTAAAATAATGCTTTTATTATGCATAAATTCCGTGTTTTAAATATTATTTATGACTTCTAAATATTAAAAGTCAATTTAATTTTGCATTTTTATTTGAAATAAAAATTTTATTGTTTATGATATTTTATGGAATTTTATGTTGTGGACGATGTAATGAATGACGTCACATTACTTTAAAGTAATTGGTTTTAATATCTATAAATTTAGTATCTAATGTTTTTAAACATTTTTTATGGCTGTTAAATATTAGAAATGCAATTTAATTTTACATTTTTTAAAAAATGATTTTATTATGTATGAATTATTTAAATAATTTTAATTCCATTCATGATGCTGTAATCTGCTCCCTGATTGGTTACAGCAATATTTGTGCATTAACGACCTGTAAACAACTCCCTGATTGGTTACAGCATATTTGTGCATTACCGCGCCATTTTAAAATTTTATTATTCATCTCTTCGAATTCCTTAGATTACATTTTTCAAATTTTTTTCCTTAGAGTACATTTTTTTAAATTATATTACATTTTTGAAATTTTTTTCATTGATATCTAAATTATGATTCCGATTTTTTTTTGGTGGTGCTTATCAATATACGACAGGTTAAATACTCAAAAAAATGTAAGTACATATTTTTCTTTTACTTTATAATTGTATACTTCAATTTTTATTAAAAAATTAATACACTGTTTTGAAAAATTGCCGAGATATTTATTGCCACATTGATTCATTGCCACGAGATATTTATTGTTTTAATGTTAAATTATTATTTTCTATAAAACTTATTTTAAAAGATT